TTTTTATCATGAATGGGTATTGAGTTTTGTCAAATGCTTTTTCAGCATCTATGGAGATGATCATGTGGCTTTTGTCCTTCTTTTTGTTGATGTGGTATATGATGTTGATAGATTTACAAATATTGTCCCATCCTTGCATCCCTGGAATATTCCTACTTGATTATGATGAATGATCTTTTTGATGTAATTTTGAATAAGATTTGCTAATATTTTGCTGAGGATTTTTGCATCTATGTTCATCAGGGATATTAGTCTCTAATTTTCTTTTTTTTGTGGTGTCTTTGCCTGGTTTTGGTATTAGAGTGATGCTGGCCTCATAGAATGAGTTTGGAAATATTTCCTCCTTTTCTGCTTTTTGGAAAACTTTAAGGAGGATGGGTATTAGGTCTTCTCTAAATGTTTCATAAAATTCAGCAGTTGAGCCATCTGGTCCAGGGGTTTTGTTCTTAGGTAGTTTTTTTATTACCAGTTCAATTTTGTTGCTGGTAATTGATCTGTTCAGATTTTCTGTTTCTTCCTGGGTCAGCCTTGGAAGGTTGTATTTTTCTAGAAAGTTGTCCATTTTGTCTAGGTTATCCAATTTGTTAGCATATAATTTTCCATAGTATTCTCTCATAATCTTTGTATTTCTATGGTGTCCATAGTGATTTTTTTCTTTCTCATTTCTGATTCTGTTTATGTGTGTAGACTCTCTTTCTTTCTTGATAAGTCTGGCTAAAGATTTATCTATTTTGTTTATTTTCTTGAAGAACCAGCTCCTGCTTTCATTGATTCTTTCAATTGTTTTATTCTTCTCGATTTTATTTATTTATCCTCCAATCTTATTATGTCCCTCCTTCTACTGACTTTGGGCCTTATTTGTTCTTCTTTTTCTAGTTTCATTAATTGTGAGTTTAGACTGTGCATATGGGATTGTTCTTCTTGCTGGAGGTAGGCCTGTACTGCAATATATTTTCCTCTTAGCATGGCCTTCGCTGTGTCCCACAGATTTTCCAGTGTTGAATTACATTTTCATTTGTCTCCATATATTGCTTGATCTCTGCTTTTATTTGGTCATTGATCCATTGGTTATTTAGGAGCATGTTGTGAAGCCTCCATGTGTTTGGGGGATTTTTCATTTTCTTTGCATAATTTATTTCTAGTTTCATACCTTTGTGGTCTGAGAAGCTGGTTGGTACAATTTCAATCTTTTTAAATTTACTGAGGCTCTTTCTGTGGCCTAGTACATTATCTATTCTTGAAAATGCTCCATGTGCACTCAGAAAGAATGTGTATACTGTGGTTTTGGGTGTTCTGCAGATGTCTGTTAGATCCATCTGTTCTAATGTGTTGTTCAGTGCCTATGTTTCCTTACTTATTTTCTGTCTGCTTGATCTATCCTTTGGAATGAGTGGAGTGTTGAAGTCTCCTAAAGCAAATGCACTGCATTCTATTTCCCCCTTTAATTCTGTTAGTATTTGTTTCACATATGTTGGTGCTCCTGTTTTGGGTACATAGATATTTTATGATGGTTATATCCTCTTGTTGGACTCCCCCCTTTATTATTATGTAATGTCCTTCTTTATCTCTTGTGACTTTCTTTGTTTTGAAGACTATTTTGTCTGGTACAAGTACTACAACTCCTTTTTTCTCCCTATTAGTTGCATGAAATATCTTTTTTCATCCCTTCACTTTTAGTCTGTGTATGTCTTTGGCTTTTAAGTGAGTCTCTTGTAGGTAGCCTATAGATTGGTCTTGTTTTATCCACTCAGTGGCTCTATGTCTTTTGATCGGTGCATTCAGACCATTTATATTTAGAGTGATTATCAATAGATATGTACTTATTGCCATTTCAGTCTTTAGATTCATTGTTACCAAGCTTCAAGGTGAGCAGTACTGGTGCCTACAGGCAGGAAAGAGCTCTTTCCTGCTTGCTGGCTGCAGTGCCTGTTTCTACTGCCAGGGCTATTGTGCCAAGCACACAGGGGGAAGTCTCTATGCTACTCCCTTGTAGCTGCCAAAGGCAGGCTGCCCTCTGGCTGGCCTGTAGTGATGGTGGGGGCAGCCTGTTTGCAAGCCAGTGCTGGCCAGGAGGAAGGAGCAGCAGGCTGCATATCACCATGGGGGCGCTTGGAGCTGCACTGCCAGCTAGGGGGATGGAGAACCTGAAGCTCCCAAAAGTTCCCAACCTGCTGGGCTGAGTGTGCCAGGACGATTTTGTCCACCTGTCCTTTCTCCTGAGCTCAATCTCTGTGCAATCCTTGCCCCTTTAGCAGCCCTCTCACTATTGCAAAGTCTTTCAAAGTGCCTGCCTTTCTTTTGTCCCGGAGTGGCCAGTTGTGGGTGCCTGCTCTCCCCAAGCAGCTGGAATCTCAGCCTCTCCAAGTATTCTGTCTATCTTACCTTTCCATCCCCACTTATCTCCAGAGCACCATGTCATGTAGGTTCATGCTCCCAAAGCTGATCTTTAGGGCTGGGTGCTCAGCAGTCCTTGGCCTCCACCCCCTCCCTGCTTTGTTTCACTTCTTCCTGCTGGTGAGCTGGGGTGGAGGAAGGGCTTTGGTACTTTACCCTTTTCCGTGAGGTCTGCTCTTTTTCCCAGGTGTAGACAGTCTGCTGCAGCCTTCTTTCCTGTCACTCTTTCAGGATGAGTTCTATTTGCTATATTTTCCTATTATATGTGGTTTCAGGAGGAGGTTTCTATCTTACCTCTCATGCTGCCATCTTTAAGCCAATCAGCAGAATTCTATATGAAAGTAAGGCGCTGGCCATTTGAAGATCTGAGGAAGGAGTTTTCTAGGCAGAAAAAATAGTAAACAAAACTGCCTCTGAAATGATCTTGCTATATGCTAGGAACACAAAGATATTGTAGTTCCAGCACAGTGGGGCAATGAGAGAAGGTAGATGGGTAGGCAAGAATGAGATACAACCTTAACAGCTGGAGTAAGGACTTAAAATTTTATTTTAAGCACAGCAGGAGCCTTTCTTAGTCCACTGGATCCACTATAGAAAAAATACCCTAAACTGGGTAGCTTATAAAGAAACAGAAATTTATTTCTCACAGTTCTGGAGGCTGGGAAGTCCATGACCACATGGCAGTAGCTGATTCAATGCCTGATGAGAGCCTCTTCCTCATTGATAGTCATCTTCTCAGTGTAACAGGATAGAAGGAGAAGGGGGCTCTATGGAATCTTTCTTAGAGAGAGCACTAATCCCATTTATGAGGGCTCCAGCTTCATGAGCTGAGCACCTCCCAAAGGCCACATCTCCTAATGTCATCACCTTAGGTGGTAGGATTTCAGCATAACAATTTTGAGGAAACACATTTAGATGATTCAGTAGAGGCTCTGAAAGGTTGACATGTTATGAGCTTCATTTTTGACTGTGCATTTCAGTGTGTAACTGTGGACTTGGAGAGACCTATAAAGGCGGTTTGCCATAAAGGTGAATGGTAATAGTAGCTTAGATTACAGTGATATAGAAGAAATGAAGGAATGCTTCAGGACGTTTTCGAAGTGCAAAAGATGGAAATTTCCAGTGTGCCTGGGGAAAAGAAAGAATGACTCCTAGGTTTTCATTTGAACCAACAACTGGAGGGTGGTGCCATTTTCTGAGATACGGAAGCTGGGCTAGAGATGGGAATGGGATTCCGGGGCAGGCAATTTGCCTAAATCATCCCTCTCTCTGGACTATTTTTCCCTCCTTCTTCACCTAGTTAATCCCTTCCCAATCTTTGGATCTTAACTCAAATGTCACTTTCTCAATGAAGTCCTTTCCCCAACTAGCTCAAACCAAACTTCTGTAGTAAATATATGCTCTCTTGGTGCTCTCTACTTTTCTTTAGCCCCTGTGTTACACTGTAAAAGTGGCCACTAACCTGTTACTCCTGTTGCCCTTGCTGACAACCTTCCCAACCCCAGACATGTGAGGACATCATAGCTCATCCAGCCACTAGGAGACCATCCAGCTGACCAGAAAGGGGTTCCAGCTGAGAGGACCCAAAGTGAAAGAAACACCCAGACCACTGAAAGAATCCTGAGTTGATGAAAGATTGTGGCAAACCACTAAGCTTTATGACAATCTGTTGCAGAGCAAACGCTGAGATGGTAGCACATACCTCAGTTACAATCTTACATGTATTTGTTTGATTAGTGTCTATCCCTCCAAGGAGACTGCTAGCTCTGTTAGAGCAAAGATTATTCTGATTTTAGTTACTACTCTATGCTCAGAGCCCAGTATAGTATCTGGAATATACCAGGCATTAAACAGATAATTTGCGAAAGGAATGCAAGGAAAGAAGAGAGGTATACATTGTAACAGGAGAGAATAAGAGGAATACTATTAAGAGAAGTAACAGCACTGGCGACATCCCACCCATTCGTCTAAAACACAAGGCACTGAGGAATACAAGATCAAAATTACATTTCCTCTTCTTCCAAGAGCTCAAAGCCTAGTCTGCAGAAAACAGTACAAAAGCAACAGAACACGCTACCAGAGGAAGGGAGCTGTCTGGAAGACGGAAGTGTGGGAGTTGTCAAGGGATATTTCTTAAGAGAGATAAAGCTTGAATTAAGTCTTAACGGTGTTTAGTTAGAAGAGCAGCAACAAGCAAAGGCCAAGAAGGCAGAAAGGACACGGACGTTCAAAGGCAGAAGAAAGTCTTCTGTTTCTCTCAGGGTATTGTTACAGTTCAAGTGTCTGTCTCCTCATCAGACGCTAAGGTCCTTCAGGACTGGGGCCGCTTCATCTTACCTTGGTATTATTCCCAGGGTCTAACACAATCTTTTCCACAAAATAGGAACTCGGTAAGTACTCGCTGAATAAAGGAATGTTAAAGATGATGCGACAAGCGCCGCTCCTACCAATGGCAGCTTCCAAGAGCCCCCATTTTTATTTACAACACTGAGAGGTGAACAAGTTGAGCATGGACCAAGATTAACCGTCGCGTCAGCAGAGCCTGGACCCCACTGGCCTTTGGTTTTACGTCTCCCTCCTAGTTACCGGTTGTTGGCCTTTTTCCTCCCCTGCTCACAGCCCAGGACGGGGGCGGGCGCTGGGTAGGCGCGGCTCCCGAGAGGGTGAACGGCCCAGCCGCCGGCACCGGCTTCCGCTTTACTCCAGATACAGCAGGCGGCAGGCACTGCGGCGGGTCTCTGGGGAGGCTGCCGGGGCCCTCGCGTGCCCTCGCAGTTTACCCTTCGGGCGCCTTCTCCGCGATCCCGCCGACTCCGGCTTTGACCGCGGGGGCGCGCGCCGCGTTGCCGTAGAAACGCCGGGGCCCTGGCCGGCGCGGGGGCGCGCGGGGCGGACGCTCGGGCTCCGGGCGGCGGCGACAGCGGCTGGCGCCCTAACGCTCGCTCGGCCGGCGCGGAGCACGTCGTTGGGCCCCAGCCTGGGGTCCCCAGCCGTGCGTGAGGCAAGATGTGGAGGCGCAGCTTGGAAAACCGGTAACAGCCGTGGGCCCCAGCTGCCCACGGCCCCCCACACTTGAGGGCTCGGGTGGGGGAAGTGGAGCCTCTCTCTGTGGGGTCCTCCGCGCCGAATCCCGGCCTTGGGCGGGGTACTGGCGCGTCTCCACTGCGCCTAGGGCTTCCCTCCCTGGGCTGCAGCGAGCCCCGGAGGCCGGGGGATAGCCACCCATCCCTTGGCTCGGGGCTCGGCCTTTTCGCTGGCGGTGCAGACGCCTGGGAGGCAGATGGGATCCCAGGCCCCGCAGCCCTAGCAGCCGCGCGGCCTGCGGGAGCCGGGCCTCTTCGTGCGCCTACACTGTCGGGATATTGAAGCCAGGCCCTGTTGGGGACCGAGAGGAGAGGAATTCGCCCCCGAAGATGGTGCGATTGTGGGTGGTTTGCACCCTCGAAGCTGCGAGATGCCCCAGGAATGTTTGCATGTCAAAGTTACTTGAAGGTAAAGCCATCGCATCTCTAATAAAAATGATTTGCTTTTTGTGTCACCTTTTTCTCTAGGGATGTCCAAACCAGACAACTGCAAGATGCCGTCACAAATGTGGAGAAGCATTTTGGAGAGCTGTGCCAAATCTTTGCTGCTTATGTGCGGAAAACTGCCAGACTGCGAGACAAAGCAGACCTCCTGGTAAATGAAATCAACATGTATGCTTCTACAGAGACCCCAAATTTAAAGCAGGGCCTGAAAAACTTTGCTGACGAGTTTGCCAAACTTCAGGATTATCGACAAGCAGAGGTATGGAGGGAGGTCAGATCGTCACTGTTAGGAGCCCTGAAGTAGTGGATGAAGGAATCATGAAGACTTTCACTTATATAATCTACTTAACCGCAGTGGTGAACATACATTTGATGATCAATGTACATTTCATGTCTGTTAACATTGTGTGAGTCTGTTAAAGGGAAGCTTCCTGTGATTTTACCAATTTCAAACTAAACTTTAGGGTATCTCGAAGTCCTGAATTTCCCCATTTCATTTGCCAACTTTTGGCCAAGGGGTAGCTCTTTACAGCGGTAGTAAACTAGTACCCATGGGGGAGAAAAGGAGCTGACTTGTGCCTTGTATGCAGGTAAGTTATGTTTTAAAGCATGTCTGGAGATGGATTGAGAACAGTAATGTGATTAAGTAATAAACGGACAAGAGATCTTAGCTGCATCCCTGCTCTGGAAAGTTGACCAAACAAACAAAAGAAACATTTGTGATTTACATCATCTAGTGAGACTGTTTTTCGTGGGGGTTTTTTTGTTTTAGGAGGGAGGGAAGATGGTGGTGGTGATATTGTTTCCTGCCTAAAAGCCTTTTTCCCCCTTTAATACCTCATAAGCACTTTCTTTCACTTATATTTATTTTAGGTTTCAAGATAACAGGTTAACTTGTCCGAAGTTGCCCAGTTAGAACTGCATTGCCTCTTGCGTACTTTTCTCATCAGTGCTGTAGGTGTCTTGTTGAAAGCCTGAAGCAGAAATTGCAATTAACAAAAGAACCCACAAAAACAAAATGAGGGTAACGATCTTTGAACCTATAATTGCTATTCATACACTTTGAGTAATGATTACATTTGGGAAAATGTAATTATTTTTGGGAAAATGAGCTCTTGTCATACACTTCTTTCAAGAAGCAACTCTCAGTTATACTTAACTGGGGATTTGCTGTTTCAAAAATAGTTTATATGCATAGATAATCCTAAAATTCCCATTTTAGCCAATAATTTCAGTGCCTCTTTCTAGAAAACCTTTATGCTATTTATCAAATAGCACACTGAATTGATCTTCATATGTTCTCCTTTTTATTTCCCTTGCTTACCAAATGGTGGAGGTGCTAATGAACAGTGAACAAAGGTAGGCAACAAAAAGGAGAACAGAAAAAAAAAAGACTTGGAAAATCCTTACACTGAATAATCAGTTATGGATTATTTCAAATAGTATAGACTAAACTATCCTGAATATTCATGGTTTTGATTTTAGGATTTCTGATATTTAAATGCTCAATGAAAACTTGGTTTTCTTCTTTTTCCTAAGATCTTTTCAAATAAAACATTCATATGCAATCTATTTATAGAAACTAAAGAAAAACTAATAAGAAATGAATTGTACTAATTACATAAACATGTCATCAAAAGACTTCCTGCTAACAAAAATACATGTTCATTTTAAACGGTTCAATACATGTCATCTTGTATTACCTGTTCTGAAAGTTATGCCCAAAAATTGTTTTTATGCTATATTTATATTGCCTTTAAAAAATACCCATTTCTTCAGTGCCTTCCACTAGTGCTATGAGTAAAAGAATTACTCAAAATTTGATAAAAATTGTAATGTTTTAAAAAACTTTTAATTCTTAATGAAAGATCAGCTAAACAGTTTGATAGTTCAGCAACACACAGACCATTATCTTGTTCTCTAAGCTTTGTTAATTTACTAATGACTTTCTAGAAAAAGCAGCTAATACAGTGGTCTCTAAGCTTTTTTGCTTTTGAGGATTTTGGTGCTTTAAATGTCTTCAATATGCTAAATCTTTCAGCTTTGATTTTCTTACCTGGAAAGTTGAGCTATTTTCATAGATAATGTATATACAGTATCCAACACTTCGATAAACACACTGAAAATGGTAGCTGTATTAAAATTTGAGATGTGTTAAAATTTACCCAGAATCTACTACTTCAAGGTAGAAAAGTAATACAGGGATCATGGTGTGGCAAGGATGAACTTGGAAACCTAAGACACTTTTTCACATTACACACTAGGTGCTTTTCTGCTTTTATTGTTACTGTACAACTTAACACTTTTTAATGTATTTGAGTTTAGATTCTGAGTCTTAACCATTTTCAGGTCATTTTTCCTTCATTTGTAAATATGTTTAATTGTGACATTTTAACTTTAAAATATTAATATGTATAGTAATAATCAGCTTAAACAGCATAGGTTTTATTTCAGAATTTACATTTTATGTCCATGTTTCTTTTCAGTTATATTTTATAATAATTTTCAATAGGTTGAAAGACTTGAAGCCAAAGTAGTTGAACCTTTGAAAGCTTATGGAGCCATTGTAAAAATGAAACGTGTAAGTAAATTCATTTTTTCCTGTCATTAGGTATTCTGACAAGGCAGTCATGCTCCTTTTCATAAAAAGTACAAAGTAGTGTTTAGTTGTTCTTTTTATATACTCTGAAGTGTCATTTCTTAGAACTTTGAGAATAATGAAATATTTTTAGTTAGCTTACTAAGTATACTACTATAGCAGTGTAGAGCATTTTTATTATGGAAACTTCAAAATATTTAATATTTTTAGTCATGAAAAATATATGGACAGAAATTAGTTTACTAAATGGAAGTTTATATCTTCTAAAGCAGTCTTAAAATGTGTGACAAAGTCCTATTTTTTTATTGAGGTATAATTGACATATATCATTCTATTAGTTTCAAGTATACTACATGATTCAAGATTTGTATATATTGTGAAATGATCACCACACTATGTCTAGTTAATGTCTGTCACTATACAAATTTTTTTTCTTATGATGAGGACTTTTAAGATCTATTAGCAAACTTTCAAATATGCAATACAGTATCATTATCTATAGTCACTATGCTGTACATTATATCCCCAAAGTTGTATTTTTAAAATCAACTTTGAGATACAATTTAAATGTAATAAAATTCTCCCATTTTAAGGTTCACTCAGTTTTGACGAATGTGTATAGACATGTAACTACCACCACAAAGTTTTACATATATGTATATATTTTTATATATGTATAGTTACAGTTTTCATTGAAATTATATTTTCTTTGTCATTAATTTGAGAGTATTATAATTTGAGAGTATAATTTGAGAGTATCTTAAAACAGTAGTCTCTCATTAATTTGAGAGAGTATTAAAGAAACACATACCCATGTGCATACTCATGCACCCTAATTATGCAGTACTAATAATTCCTCTGGTGATGATGCCTGGATCAATCAAGGAGTATTCTCTCATTCTTAAAACAGTGTATATTTTTTATTTCTTAAATCAAAGATTTTTATTAACAAAAAATGCCACTTGCAGGATGACCTCAAAGCAGCATTAACAGCAAAGAATCGAGAAGCTAAACAATTAACTCAGTTAGAAAGAACACGTCAGCGAAACCCATCTGATCGATATGTTATTGTATCCTTTGAATTCTGGTCTTAAAAAATGTTTTGTAAGGTATGCAGTACAAAAGTAAAAATAAATGGAAACTATACATTTATGCTTTTAAGTGTACAAAAAATTTGAATGTAAAGATTGAAAGTAAACACATGCATTTACAAATCCTTACTATAGAAATTAGCTAATTTTAAAGAAAATACACTACCTAATTCAATTCCCTTACATTGTTTTCCAAAATTGATACTCAAAAAATAACTCATAAATGCAGATATTTTTATAGAGTAAGTTCAAAATTGTTTTTTTCACATGACTAAATATTGGTTATAAAATTAACTTAAAGATCTACCATTAATCCTAATATGTCAGTGCTCTATCTGCCCTGCTTTTGAGAAAAGAAAAATCATTTTTCCCCCAGTATAATTTCCTATATTTTTAAAAAATAAAATAAAACAAGTATGTGAAACAAGTTATGACTTGTAGCAAAGACCCTCAGGAGATTCAACAGCATAATTGAAGTCCACAGCTGGACACAAAGGGATCTAAATAGGAGTATCTACTGTAACAAGGTGGTTCTGTTAAGAATGACTATTAGAATGTGTCTTGTTCTTCACTAAGTAAGAGAATAGAAAACAGTACATGGCTAATTGCCAGCAATGAGGAATAGGTACAGTTGTAGAAAATATTAGCTTGTCCCACTGCCTTTTTCCCACTCCTTATGTCTCCTTCCTACTTCCTTAAGGTTTTATTGCCCAGATCAACCAGAAACCACATGAGTGGCTCTTTGGGGGCATTTCCAGAACACCTCACTCCTGAGGGGACTGCCTTGAGCAGTGATTTGGGGCTGCACCAATTGCCTGATCCTCCTTCCTTTGGACCAAAGGTACATTGCCCAACCTTGTAATAAACAAAAATGGGCAGTCCCAAGGCTGGGACTGCCCATTAGAGGCTGGGAACATCTAGATAGACGTTGAGCCTTAAGATCTACAAACTGGCAATTACAGAGTCTGGGTTTTAAGCAAGTCAGACAAACCAGAGAATGCTTGAAAATTTATAACCAACAGCTAAGTAATGTCAACAGTTTTTAAGAATTAAGCCAGAAGCCAAAATTGTTTTTTGTTTGGAGGAAAGTACATAAGGCAGAAAAATGTCATATATGAGTGGTTGGCAAGATTGAACCCAGTATTAGTATGTACACTGAACATGGAAATGAATCCATTCCTATAGATGAAGCAGGTCTGTGGGTTCATATAGGGAGAAATGAAGGCAACAATATAAATTATTGCTATAGGTGAATTGCTTTGTTTACTGAGAAACAGATATCTGACTCCATTAGATTTTGACAACCTGAGAGTATAAAATAAAGGACAGTCTATATATGAACGTTTCAGTATAAATATATAAATACCGAATCATAGCATCATAGAGTATTTAGCAAGAGAGACCCTAAAAGTTCATCTGATGCACATTCAGAAGACACACATTAATGTTCAGTATGTAAAATAAAATGGAGTAGCTGTGGTACAAGACATAGAGTAAAGAAGAATCCCAGGGCTCTGCCTGCTCACCCCCAAAGAGGTCCCTGGTGGCTCCTGAACAAGCTTCTTGTAACAGTCACCAATCTGGTTTACCATTTCATAAGCCATTTTGTACTCATGACTAATTTCATTAAATATACTGATAGCTTTATTCATAGGTTCCTATCATAGTATTTTAATCAAAAGCATTTCCTACTCAAATTGATATAGGATTTTGAAGAATTCAACAAAACTCAGCAATAGAAGTTTATATCCTCTTTGCTAAAAATAGCTGTGTAACTTTGGACAGATTGCTAAGCTGGAGTAAAAGAATTTGAGACTTTAAGAAATGAATAATAGTTACTGGAGGATGGTAGAAAATTAAGATACAGATGTCCCAGCTGTGGCTTCTGCTTCTCCACTCTTTCCTACCTACCCTTCCAAATTCTAAAATGAAATTATCAATAAGTGGGGATGGGAGAAACATACCTGAAAAAGAAGTAGTCCCAGGTAAAAAACTGCATGATTACTTATAATAAATTATATTAGGAAATTAGTTTGCTTGAATATTCTCATTAGCAAAAGGTTAACACATACCAAATAACTGTTAGAAATTTACTCATACTAATCAGTCTTCAAAGGAGCTCTACATTCCTTTTGAAATTCCTGTGATGAAGTTATATATTTAAAAATTCTAAGCCTAGTAATACAGAAAATTCTTTTTAATTACAGGTTATGATTAAGTTTTTATTATTTTAAAAAACTTTACAACCTATACGGTAAACAGACACACACATACACAGGTACAAATGGATATATTTTTTAATGCTTAGTATCTTGAAGTTGAGAATTTGAACTAACCTAATTATAAGAGTATATAATCAATTTAGTTATAATTAATGCATAATCTAATTGCAAGAGTATATAATTCTATAAGAGTATGTATTCCAATTTATTGAAAAAATTTTCTCTTTGAAATGTATTTTTCCTTTATGAAAAATTTCAGTCACAGGTGGGTAATAAAGTGGTGTGTCAAGAGATGGATCCTTATAGTAAACCCTTTTACTCATTTCATTTATATATTTTCTTGAAAAAGAAAAGGGGTAAATGTCAGAATATTATGTCACAAAACTTTGATGACAAATGCAGACTTTTCTGTAGATTAATATAATATTTGATACTTTTGAGTAAGTATAATACTACCTTTGGAATCAAAACTTTATTAGAATTTAATCAGAAAATTGGGTTATGTCTTTTTAACTCTACTGTTTTCTGTTTAACAAATAATTGTAAATATTTTGGGGCAACTGTTCTAAAGAGATGCTTTTTAAAGAGAAATATATGATTAGATTGGAAATATTCTGTACTTACAGTATGTAGCCATTAGCTATATATGGCTCTTGAGCTCCTGAAATGTGACTATACTAAGAAACCAGTTATTAAATTTTCATTTAATTTTAATTGATTTCAATGTAATTAGCTACATGTGGCTAATGGCCACCATAATGATTGTACAACACAAATCTAGATAGTATGAATACTTGTCATTAGAATATATGAAGCAAAGTATTTGACTTGCTAACTGACTAGTAATAGTGTAATATTTTTAGCTCATAAGAATACAGAATAGAAATCCCATGTTTAAATAAATATTAGTAGTATATATTCTACTTTGATTAGAATATTACAGAATTAGAAACATTTAATGCATTTGGAGAACTAGAAAACTGAAAATACTGTAGTCAAGGTCCTTTTCTAGGGGCAAGAGTTAAAGGGAACAGAGAGTGAGAAAAAAAAGAATAGTATATGTGGCACAGATAGTGAAACAAGTCAAAGCAGTAGGAAATACAGAAAATTGTTTTATAGTAAATTATCCAAAGATGATATAGGGGGAAATGGTTTTGTATTAAGTTCTGTTTTCTTTTGCTTGCGATCATGTCACTTAAAAGATGTAAAGTTCCTTATTCTGCATGTTTATTATGTAGATCATTATATTTTATGTGATAAAATATATCATGGAACAACTTACATTGTTATACCAAAAACCAATACTGCAGTGTAGCATTTACAAATAGCCTCAACTGAATGAATGCTGACTTGATTTTTTTATATCTTTGGTTGGGAATACTTTGTAGGCAGAAACCGAACTACAGAGAGCTACAATGGATGCTACACGAACAACTCGTCATCTAGAGGAAACTATTGACAATTTTGAAAAGCAGAAAATAAAGGATATAAAGGTAAATGAACTGTTAAGGTTTCAAAACATGTTTCCTAACCTTATTTTTCATTTTATTTAATTTTATTTAAATTTTGAATTACTCTTTTTTAGCCCATAGTGTGAAAATATACTGTAAATAAATATATGAAATGTTTTTTTCTTAAAGAAACAATGGCCTAAAGGGGCTATATTCTTAACCAGATGCCAACTTCTTATCTCAAATACTACTAGAAGGGAACTAACATTTACTGTACTTATATGTATCAGGTGTTATTCTAGGCACTTTGCATAAATTATCTTTTAATCTTTATAGCAACCCCATGAGAATGAGACGATGTCCATGTTTTCTATAAAAAATTAAGCAGAAACATAATTTTCCCAGAGTATCACAGACAAAATTCTGAACTATAATTATATATTTTAAAAATCTCTGCCTCCATTATGATACAATATCAAAGCATAAAGCTTTCTCTTAACTACATATTATCAGACAAATATATAGGGTAAGAGTAGCCAACCACATAAACTTGGATCCATCATGATACGGTGTCACAAGAATTGCCTTATTTTATTGTAACACGTCAGTAGATTTGAAACCTTTGGGATCATGGACTTCAAAAGGTCTTCAGTGGCTTTTTCATAGGCATTTTGGAAAGATTTGGAGGATTACTCATGATCATATTATGTCCTTGAAAACAAGTCATCCAAGGATGCCTTTTGACTCACTGCAAATTTCCCTGTATCAAGCTTTAAAGAAAAGTGTTTTTGTCATTTCACAATTATTAACAAAGAAAACATCCTGCTTTCAGAAATTCTTATCAACAAAATAAGCATTAACTGCTACTTAATTTTAATCATTCCTCTACAATCCATGAAACAACATTCATTTGCACCTCTTATTTTTTTAAATTTCCTATCATAGTTTCAAAGAATTTCGGAACTTTGATTTTTTTTTTTAACCAAGCTCAAAGGTCTCCAGTTTGATCCTGAAGACCAAAAAAAATATTTTTTCAGCCTCTCAATTCACACTCTGCATTCTTCTGTATAATGGTAGATTGCTACTCACACGGAGCATCTCAGGAAGCTGCCCTGAGACAGACTCCTTTACCAGGTGGGAGAGTATGGGCAGGGTATGATGTTGTACAGTTGCTGATATCCTCTCTTAAATTGAGGGAGAAAGGAAGGAAAGTTATTAAAATAATTAGTTCTAACCTGAAAAATGAGAAGAGAGACTTGTGAGGTATGCTTGATTTTATTCCATCGCCATAAAAAGACTTATTTAGTGATGGGAGCCTGATTCCTCACTCCACCACTGTTCTTCATGCCTGCAAAATTTTCTTCTTTACATGGCAATCTATGTCTCTAATGTATGAGCTCATGTCAGTGTTCCATCTGCATGCTAGTTACCTCTACAGGTGTTTTTAATTCCTTGAGCATCCCCAGTTACAAAACTGGGGCAGAGAGAATGAGTGTAGAATTCCCAACTACAATTCCAACTACCTGGGATTTCCTGAAGTGATAGGATGTGGAGTGAGGAACCACACAGAGAGAAGGGCTTCCAGGCTTTTCTCTTTGCCTACTGTATCATGCCCCTGTAGGGAAGATGTCTCCTGGTAGCCACAAAAATACTAAGACAAGAAGAAACTTAACTTTTAAAAAAATTGAGATATCATTATGATTTGGGGCTGCACCAATTGCCTGATCCTCCTTCCTTTGGACCAAAGGTACATTGCCCAACCTTGTAATAAACAAAAATGGGCAGTCCCAAGGCTGGGACTGCCCATTAGAGGCTGGGAACATCTAGATAGACGTTGAGCCTTAAGATCTACAAACTGGCAATTACAGAGTCTGGGTTTTAAGCAAGTCAGACAAACCAGAGAATGCTTGAAAATTTATAACCAACAGCTAAGTAATGTCAACAGTTTTTAAGAATTAAGCCAGAAGCCAAAATTGTTTTTTGTTTGGAGGAAAGTACATAAGGCAGAAAAATGTCATATATGAGTGGTTGGCAAGATTGAACCCAGTATTAGTATGTACACTGAACATGGAAATGAATCCATTCCTATAGATGAAGCAGGTCTGTGGGTTCATATAGGGAGAAATAAAGGCAACAATATAAATTATTGCTATAGGTGAATTGCTTTGTTTACTGAGAAACAGATATCTGACTCCATTAGATTTTGACAACCTGAGAGTATAAAATAAAGGACAGTCTATATATGAACGTTTCAGTATAAATATATAAATACCGAATCATAGCATCATAGAGTATTTAGCAAGAGAGACCCTAAAAGTTCATCTGATGCACATTCAGAAGACACACATTAATGTTCAGTATGTAAAATAAAATGGAGTAGCTGTGGTACAAGACATAGAGTAAAGAAGAATCCCAGGGCTCTGCCTGCTCACCCCCAAAGAGGTCCCTGGTGGCTCCTGAACAAGCTTCTTGTAACAGTCACCAATCTGGTTTACCATTTCATAAGCCATTTTGTACTCATGACTAATTTCATTAAATATACTGATAGCTTTATTCATAGGTTCCTATCATAGTATTTTAATCAAAAGCATTTCCTACTCAAATTGATATAGGATTTTGAAGAATTCAACAAAACTCAGCAATAGAAGTTTATATCCTCTTTGCTAAAAATAGCTGTGTAACTTTGGACAGATTGCTAAGCTGGAGTAAAAGAATTTGAGACTTTAAGAAATGAATAATAGTTACTGGAGGATGGTAGAAAATTAAGATACAGATGTCCCAGCTGTGGCTTCTGCTTCTCCACTCTTTCCTACCTACCCTTCCAAATTCTAAAATGAAATTATCAATAAGTGGGGATGGGAGAAACATACCTGAAAAAGAAGTAGTCCCAGGTAAAAAACTGCATGATTACTTATAATAAATTATATTAGGAAATTAGTTTGCTTGAATATTCTCATTAGCAAAAGGTTAACACATACCAAATAACTGTTAGAAATTTACTCATACTAATCAGTCTTCAAAGGAGCTCTACATTCCTTTTGAAATTCCTGTGATGAAGTTATATATTTAAAAATTCTAAGCCTAGTAATACAGAAAATTCTTTTTAATTACAGGTTATGATTAAGTTTTTATTATTTTAAAAAACTTTACAACCTATACGGTAAACAGACACACACATACACAGGTACAAATGGATATATTTTTTAATGCTTAGTATCTTGAAGTTGAGAATTTGAACTAACCTAATTATAAGAGTATATAATCAATTTAGTTATAATTAATGCATAATCTAATTGCAAGAGTATATAATTCTATAAGAGTATGTATTCCAATTTATTGAAAAAATTTTCTCTTTGAAATGTATTTTTCCTTTATGAAAAATTTCAGTCACAGGTGGGTAATAAAGTGGTGTGTCAAGAGATGGATCCTTATAGTAAACCCTTTTACTCATTTCATTTATATATTTTCTTGAAAAAGAAAAGGGGTAAATGTCAGAATATTATGTCACAAAACTTTGATGACAAATGCAGACTTTTCTGTAGATTAATATAATATTTGATACTTTTGAGTAAGTATAATACTACCTTTGGAATCAAAACTTTATTAGAATTTAATCAGAAAATTGGGTTATGTCTTTTTAACTCTACTGTTTTCTGTTTAACAAATAATTGTAAATATTTTGGGGCAACTGTTCTAAAGAGATGCTTTTTAAAGAGAAATATATGATTAGATTGGAAATATTCTGTACTTACAGTATGTAGCCATTAGCTATATATGGCTCTTGAGCTCCTGAAATGTGACTATACTAAGAAACCAGTTATTAAATTTTCATTTAATTTTAATTGATTTCAATGTAATTAGCTACATGTGGCTAATGGCCACCATGATTGTACAACACAAATCTAGATAGTATGAATACTTGTCATTAGAATATATGAAGCAAAGTATTTGACTTGCTAACTGACTAGTAATAGTGTAATATTTTTAGCTCATAAGAATACAGAATAGAAATCCCATGTTTAAATATTAGTAGTATATATTCTACTTTGATTAGAATATTACAGAATTAGAAACATTTAATGCATTTGGAGAACTAGAAAACTGAAAATACTGTAGTCAAGGTCCTTTTCTAGGGGCAAGAGTTAAAGGGAACAGAGAGTGAGAAAAAAAAGAATAGTATATGTGGCACAGATAGTGAAACAAGTCAAAGCAGTAGGAAATACAGAAAATTGTTTTATAGTAAATTATCCAAAGATGATATAGGGGGAAATGGTTTTGTATTAAGTTCTGTTTTCTTTTGCTTGCGATCATGTCACTTAAAAGATGTAAAGTTCCTTATTCTGCATGTTTATTATGTAGATCATTATATTTTATGTGATAAAATATATCATGGAACAACTTACATTGTTATACCAAAAACCAATACTGCAGTGTAGCATTTACAAATAGCCTCAACTGAATGAATGCTGACTTGATTTTTTTATATCTTTGGTTGGGAATACTTTGTAGGCAGAAACCGAACTACAGAGAGCTACAATGGATGCTACACGAACAACTCGTCATCTAGAGGAAACTATTGACAATTTTGAAAAGCAGAAAATAAAGGATATAAAGGTAAATGAACTGTTAAGGTTTCAAAACATGTTTCCTAACCTTATTTTTCATTTTATTTAATTTTATTTAAATTTTGAATTACTCTTTTTTAGCCCATAGTGTGAAAATATACTGTAAATAAATATATGAAATGTTTTTTTCTTAAAGAAACAATGGCCTAAAGGGGCTATATTCTTAACCAGATGCCAACTTCTTATCTCAAATACTACTAGAAGGGAACTAACATTTACTGTACTTATATGTATCAGGTGTTATTCTAGGCACTTTGCATAAATTATCTTTTAATCTTTATAGCAACCCCATGAGAATGAGACGATGTCCATGTTTTCTATAAAAAATTAAGCAGAAACATAATTTTCCCAGAGTATCACAGACAAAATTCTGAACTATAATTATATATTTTAAAAATCTCTGCCTCCATTATGATA